TTCCCACAGCAAGGCCCTTCTGCATGCTCATGGCTTGGATGATTCTGTGGGGCCTTGGTAGGTGCGCTGCAGTAGGGAAGCTGCCATGGTTCCTCTATTGGCTCCCCTGATTAACTTCCCCCAATGGATTCTGCCAGCCCTACCTTGACTCTCTCTAGTCTGGCTCTAATGATGGCAGAGTCTGTGGAGATCACTCGCCAGCCTGGAACTGGGCCTTGGAATTGCAACACAAGCCTGTGAGGCAGATGTGTGGTAAGTGCATAGCACATTTTCCAGTGGAAATGCCATGCTGGAGACAGAACATTACTTAGCAGTGGGTGGGCAACTCGTTCCTAACAGCTCAGTTCCTCCCTGTGAGGGACCCCATGGAAGCTGGCTTCTGTTGCAGCTGTGGGAGGAGGAGGCTCTCCAGTAGCTGCTGGGAGAAGACAGTGGGGGGAGTTCTTGGGAAGCCACTGTTTGTGACTTGACAGTGTAAACAAGAGAAAACAAAACCCCTGGGTCTGTGTGCACAGACAAGTTGGACAAGACTTTCTCATCTGCAGAGGCTAGCTTGCTCATCGTTCAGGCTTTACTGAATGCTTAAAGGTGGCTCTGTCTGTGTATGTAGTGACGTCAAGACTTCTCCCTCTCAGAAAAAGCAAGCAATGTTTGTCAAGTAAGCGCCTTTCACCCTCTGGGAGCCCTCTATCTCTTCCTAGTGGATAGTCCAAGTGACACCAGGGGTGACACAATCAGGGATGTGAGAGTGTCAAAGTGTGTATGTGTGTGGGGAGAGAGAGACAGACAGACAGACAGACAGACAGAGAGAGAGACAGACAGAGAGAGAGACAGACAGAGAGAGAGACAGACAGAGAGAGAGACAGACAGAGAGAGAGAGAGAGACAGAGAGAGAGAGAGAGAGAGAGAGAGAGAGAGACAGAGACAGAGAGACAGAGAGAGAGACGAGAGAGAGAGAGAGAGAGAGAGAGAGAGAGAGAGAGAGAGAGAGAGAGAGAGAGAGAGAGAGAGAGAGAGGAGCCCCAATGGCATGTCCTCACGGTCCCCTTTCAGCCTGGCCTGTCCCTGTTCACACCTGTCACAAAATGCAATTTCATTTCCTCAGCCCGACAGGCCTCACACTTCCGGGGACCCAGGAAAAAGCTTGTCTGCATGTCACATACCACATGCCAGTCCATGTAAAGATTATAATACCCCTTGAAACACGGGTACGCTTTGTCCATGTCAGATTCCCGAGCCAAGATTTTTGCATAAGAATTCATTAAAATCACATTGGCATGTCTGTAGTTTGGGATGTAATTTAAAACAGTCTTCATTTCTAACTGTAGTGGCTTAAATGAGAAATGTCTACCGTAGGGTAGGCCCTACAGAGTATTTGAACACTGATCACCAGGTGGCGGAGCTGTTCCGGTTGTGAAACTTTAGGACAGGAGCCTTGTTGACAGCAGGCTTTGAGAACTTATTGCTTTGTCCTACTTCTGACCTCACCCATCTATGGCCTTTTGTGAAAATCTGTGAGCCTATTCTTCACTCGTGCACAATTCTGTTCAGCCTATAGGGAGTCCTGTTTGTGGCTAGAACTGTGAAAATACAACAGATGGAACATGGAAGATTGATAAACAACCACAAGATGGCGCTATTATGCAGAAGTCCAAGTTAGTGTGGGCTGGGAGAAGATGCTGTGTCCCAACATGCGGGGCAGAAAACTGACATCTCACTGAAAGATAAAGAAAATATTTTAGGAATATGTATGCTCCAAACTTCTCATAAAGTCCAAGTGGTGTTCATAACAGATTCCAAAATTGCTCTTTAACAATCTAGCAACTCCCTTCTGGGAAAATAACACAAAACTATGACATGAGAAATTTTCCTCTTAGGGGACCCTGCCCACACTGAAGTAGCTTCCTTGTCTTTTTCTTTAGCTTTAAAATGTTCGTTCTTCCATATTTTCAGTGAAATGTCATGATATAAATGAGAAGTGCATTTATTTATTTACTTACAGACCTATATGTCCTCTGTGTTGCCTTTCAAAAACAAGTGAGTGGCATTTGGTATTTTCCATCAATGTGTCTTTGTTGTCTGGTCTCTTCTCTCGATCTAAACTAAATCATGTTCACTGCCCTGTTGGACCCCTGGGGGGCACAGCTGGAAGATCTTGGCAGTGCATGACTATTAGGCAACCTAAGGTTGCCGAGCTCTTAGGAAATCCAGACGAGGCAACTAGAAGATGAGTCCAAATGTGTGTTTACCTTCCCCAAGACCACAGTGTAGACTAGGGCCAGGTGACCACGGTGAGGTGGAACGCGCCAGCCTCCTGGAGATGCGCAGAGCGGCCGTCTGCTCCTTCCACCACACTAGGCAGCCTGTGTCACTAACTCAAACCCCAATGCATCCTGTTGAGAAATGGAAACCTAAAAATAGACCTGCAAAGAGTACAGTACTGTGCCCTTGGCTTGAAGATCAGCCCGGCACTGTGACAAGAAAGGCCTTTTCTAGGAAGATTGTGTTCATAAAAGCCATATTTCATCTTCGTACTGACTCCAAGGAAAAACAGGCTCAGAAAATGAGCATCTTGGCTGTCCTTCAAATGGGAGATCGTTGTGTTTGGCTCTGGTTGTCCTGGATGTCAGATATCTATGCAGTTTGTTCCTGAAACCCCTCGAACAAAATGTTAAAGGTTAAAGATTAGATTAATGGTGACATTTAAGCAAATCTGCTATTACATTGTGCATCCGAAGTTCAATGATATTTGGCCAGAATTCAAGGACAAGGTGGGAAAATGCTGCATTCAGTATTTCCTAGAGAATGTATGTGCTTCCAAATTTACTATAATAAATAATGACATTTCTAAGGAATTCTGGCCCAGAGGGCCGACTGAATATATATATATATATACATATATATATATATATATGTGTGTGTGTGTGTGTGCGCGCGTGTGTGTGCATGTATGTATGTATGTGTACATGTATATATATAATTTTAGCAATTAAATCCAAATTTAATTTTCATGAATGTATTAGTTGTAATATTTAGTGTTTGTAATAGCAAAGAATGTGAGAGGAACTTCATATTATGTATTTTTACATATTTCAAAACTAGATCTTGTACTAGTAAGAAGCTATTTTAAAGGCCTTGTAAACTTGGGTAACTTTTTAAGAACAGCTGCCTCCAATTAAATAACAAATACTTTTCAGACTCTTTCAGGTTCACTGTTCCTTCAGTGGACTGCAAAGTCCGGGAAAATGGACTTCATTAGGAGGCACAGAACCCCTGGAAGGAGGTTGAAATGGTATTTAGTACCTGCAAAGAGGACTATCATTGGCTTAAAGCTTCGCCATAAAGACTGGTAAATAACACTGATTGCAGGTCTCATTCAAGCGGAGAATAATGAACACAGAATGAAGGAAGAATAATGATCCAAATTGCTCTTGATCTCTCGGAGCCGAGCCTATTGATTGGCCTGGAAGTAACAGCGCTAATCGTAGGTAAGAACTCCAAATGCTGTAGAAGGTTATTAGCCCTGCGAGTGCGGGGTACCCATTTCTTTGTACTCGTAGAGTATTTTATTGAGGAAAATCTTCAAACAACTGTGTATTTAAGATAAATTCCAGGGTTGACCCAAGTCAAATAAGATTCCCTCTCACCTCTTCTTGGTAACTCATAAAAGGCCATTTATGTGCTCCTTCTAATGCAGCAAACGTGTTCTGAACGCTTACTGTATGCTTGGCACACAAGAGAAACAAATAGAATTAAGCCTTCTCGGAGGTAATTACTGGCCTCGCTTTGGCTCTTTTTTAATAAGCCCAAGAGGAACGACTTTTGCTAAATGGTAAATTTACACTTTGGACTGGCTTTTCCAGAACATTCTGGCAAAGTTTCAAGAACAAAGTCATAAGAAAGAAATACCTTAAAAGCACACAAAGTCACTTCAAAAGCCACAAGGAAAACTTTTGACAGATTCTGAAATGCAAGCCTTTTCACTTCTCATTAACTTCTGTCGAGAGAGACCCAAGAAGAGCTTACATCCCTTTAAATTCGTTTTGAGGCTGCAAGTATATTCTTAGAAGCTGATCAACTCCTATTTTAGTGCCAACACCCTCACATAAGCATCTTACTAATGAAAATAAAAGAGTGGAAAACTCATACTCTATTCAATGTATTGGCCAAGAAATGAGATTCGCAGGCAAATGGATGACACTAGAAGAAACCATCCTGAGTGAGGTAACCCAGTCACAAAAAGAGAAACATGGCATGTACTCTCTCATATATGGATTTTAGACATAGATCTGGGGAGTGCCAGCCTACAATCCTATGGCCAGAGAGTCTGGGAAACAGAAACTTCATTCAGTGGCTGATGGAAGAAGAGGCAGACTCCCTCGGTTAAGTACTGAGCTGAACTCAAGAAAGCCAGTAGCAGAGAGGGAGGACTGATGATCAAAGGGATTAAGACTGGGCTGGTTTAACCCCCAGAAACAGCTGACCAGACAAAGGTTAACTCTTGAATTCCAGGCATCAGCCTGGGAATCCAGCATGGGACTGATCAAGACCCCCTGAATGTGGGTGTCAGTGAGGAGGCCTAGGTAATCTATTGAGCCTTGGGCAGCAGATCAGTACCCATCCCAAGTATACACACAGACTTTGGACTCCCATAGAACAATGTGAGGCGCACTCTCACCCTGAACTCTTGGGGAAGGGTCTAGGCCCTGCCCTATATGAAATGACAGACTATGCACACCCCCATGGAGGGCCTCACCCTCCCTGGGGAAATGAGGGGATAACGGGGGGGGTTGGGGGAGGGCACGGGAGGAAGGGAGGGAATGGGAGAGGGACCTGGAACTGACTTGTGAAGCAACCTTGTTTCTTACCTCAATTTAAACCGGAAAATAAAATTAAAAAAAAAAAAAAAAAGAAAAAGAAAAAGAAATGAGTCAGTGGTACAGTTTGCCAGATGGGGGCAGCAGAGAGCGCTGGAGATGACAGCTGAGGACCTCAAGACCAGGTGGTTGCCAGGAAACCTTCAGGGCACCTGAGAACTGAGGACGCTCCATCTGTCTAGGGAAAGTTTGCTGAATGGAAAGGCTGGCAGTAGGGAGCACAAGCCAGAAGAAACAAGCAAGAGGAGACAAGAAAAATGAACGCAGTGAGGAAAGAAGTCACAAACCCCGGCTTTAAATAGGTCACCTCACAGAAAGGACTTAATTGCTCACACTCGGTGCCTTTCAAGTGTAAAGTGAACATAGTGATGTTAGCACCTCACCGAATCATCATCACAAGGCCATGACGTGACGCATGCAAAGTGCTCAGTGCATCGCCCGTCCGTTCCCAGAAAGGACGGAACAAACACAATGAGCTGCTATTGCTTCCTGCTACTGCAGAGAGGTTGACAAAGGGGAGCTGAGTGCCAGCCAGCCTCAGAGAAGAAAGCAAAAAGAACCCATGGCCATCCTAGACCGCCATCGTGGAGATGATGACAGGACAAAGGGAGCTGTGCTGGTGAGCAATCTGATGGCTCTCCGCAGCTCAGAGTCCCGGGAACAGTCATCCACCGTCCTCCGTCTAAAGGATAAGCTGCCATGAACCCCGTCACTTGGAGGTGGAAAGCAACTCTTGTGTTCTTTCAAAGTAAGATCCAGTTGTCTGACTATCTTGGTTTCAGAGCAAGAATGGGAATTCCGAAGGAGGGCTTCCCTCATCCGCAGAGTAGATAGAGCGCCAACTAGAGGTCGTTATCTTGTTGGGCGGACTCGCCAGTTCTTGAGAGGTTTTTGTTGTGGGTTTTCTTGGTTTGTTTGGTTGGGGTTTTTGTTTGTTTGGTTTGGACCCTTTTGTTTGTAAAACGATGGAGTAAATACGTCCTGTTCTTGGAGAAGATGGTAATGTTCCCATAGGTCTAACTACAGGCTTCATTCTGCAATAGGTTAAGTGTTCTCTGCTTTACAGTGGAGTGGGGACTTGAGACTTTTAAACAGACTAAGCTCTTAAAGAATTCAAGGTGGGGGCCTGGAGAAGTATAAACAGTTTGTAAAACTGAGCACACACACACACACACACACACACACACAGCCGCTGAAGAGCCTAGACACTAGGGAGAACTCTTAGGAGTGTGGGCTAACAGGTTTCGCTGGACACTGTGGTGGCAGTTGTTTCCTGGGTGGAGTCTTTCCTAAAGTAGAGATGAGCCCACTTTAGAAGCTGAGAGGTCCGGCCTCTTTGCACCAAGAAGACTCGTGGATTGTGCCTGACACTGCGGCTTGCCAAGCATTAGGAGTCTGTGGTAGAGCCTGAGGTGCTTGGGACCTGGCCGAGGCCTTTGGAACTTATGCTGGAAACCTAAGGCTGTTCAGAGCTGCCTCAGAGTACACCGTCATCAGCAGGTAGCATCAAACACTCAAGGTGATTCCTTTAGCTCTTAGTAGTAGAGCTTTTATTAAGTACCATGGTTACACATTGCTAATAAGTGGCACAGCTACATAAATTCATGGAAACATTCATCCTGAAAGGTCACCCATTCGCTTTACTCCTCCACTACTCGCTTGGCTTCTCCAAACGGCTTCACCCAGTGTGCGTAGTTTCCACCTTGGGAGACAGTTGGACCCACCCTCCAGACTTGGTCCTGTTACCCACTCCATACAGAGATGCCTGAGGATCCTTCTTAAAATATCAGCAAAGTTCCCCTGCCTGCAACCTCTCAGCGTCCTTAGATAAAGGCTGAAGTGGAAATGCTAGGCAGGTGTGGTGGCTCATAACCATAATCCCAGGACTCTGGGAGGCTGAGGCAGGAAGACTGGCAGCATGGGCTACATACTAGGATGTTTCCCCAAAGTATGGGTTATCAGGTAAAGGTGCTGTGAGGGGGTTGTGTTTCTGGGGCTGCAGCCAGAGCCCACTGGGCAGCCCACAGTTTATACCTGAGAGGGGGCAGTGTGGACTGAAGAAAGGCTAACTAAAGACGGTAACGGAAAAGACGGAGACACCGAATAAAAGCAGGAGGGCAGATTCAGCTAATACTGAATGTGCCCCAAGTTTATTTTTCACCACTCTTATATAACCAAAAAGGGGAACATGGTATCATGTAAACAGAACAAGCAGGCTTTTTTCCTCATTTCTCCAAGGATTCAGTAACCATACCTCAGATTCAACTTCTTGCTACCTGGCCTTGACGATCAGGAGTAACCACACCTCAGACCAGGTCTGTTGTTGTTTAGAATAAGACACCCAAGGCCAAGATCGAACATCCTACTGTAACCACACCTTTGGCCTTTAGGTCTTATGACTTACCGAGGACGGTTTTGACCTCTCTGTCCTTGAGCCAAGATGGAATGGAGCCATCTTCCTGGGCACCGACAAGGTGCTTGCTGCCAAGCATGGGGACTTGAGTTGGGTCTCTAGGGTCACGTGATGGAAGGAGAGAACCAATTCCACACATTTGCCCTGGTGCCCCTCTCAGCTCCAGTTAATAAGTAAATGTAATAAAAAGTCTTACTGAAATATTCAGCAGCCTACACAGCCAAGTCTGTACTTAGTGGGCTGGGGAGAACTGAGTGAGAGCCTGACCTCTGGAAAGAGCTTTCTAGAAAATCCCCGTGAGAGGCTGTGTGCCCATTCAAGTCATAAGCTTCTGTATAGAAGAAAAACAACAACAATATAATAAGTCAGGCATAGGAACACACCAATAATCCTGTCCCTCAGGATGCTGAGGCAGGAGAATCACAAGTTAAAGGTTAGTGTGAGCTGTATAGCAAAACACTAGAAGCAGAGGGGAAGAGGGAAAGAGAGAATACGACAGATTTGGGGGAGGGGTCATTCTGAGGAAATCCAGTACAAGAATGGACTTGCTGTCCCTACAGGTAAGATGACAGTAAGGGACATGTAACTTGGGTGTCAGAGCCTGGTAGTAAGGTATCTGGATGTGCCAGCGGCAGCCCCAACCCAGCAAATGAATCGGCTGCAGTGTAAACCAAAGCAACCGCACTTATCCTACATTTTAAAATAATAAGAACTGAGAACAGTACTGCTTCCCTATGATGGTGGCTTTTCTCTCTCAGGCACCTGCTAAGGGGCTAGCTTTACACCAGTTATCTTACAAGCTTCATTACAATCACCTTGTAATTATGATCTTTAGTTTTGATATATGAAAACCAAAGCTCAAAAGGTTACTGAAAGTCAAATGACTATAAGGGCATAAACAAACAAAAACCAGACATCAGAAAAACCATTTCTGTTCTTTATGTAGAAAGGAGATAGATATGGTTCACGGTTTATCATTAGGTTGGGCAGCATGTAAAGCAACACGTTTGTTTATTATCTGTCCCACACCATGCAGATGACAGAGCTCCCTACAGGGAGGGACTGTTTTATTCACGACCAACTCAGTAGCATATCAAGTAGTGTCTGGCCATGGCAGACTCTAATCCAGGATTTTTTTACATAAATGAAAGAAATAAAGGTTGACAGCTGTTTTATTACCCAGTATTTTGATTTGGAGATTTACAAAAGTTGGAAAGATCAGTGTGGGTACCCTTATGTCCATAGATTTGATGTTGGATAGATTTTCTTATTCTATCCACTTCCAAGTGCTGCTACTAAAATACAACTATGCCTTATTCAACCAGAGGTTTCCATTAGCAACAAGAATTAATTAAATTATGAGTCATCAGCAGATGACACTAATGCAGATTATCCCCCTACGATTCTTTGTTTTTCTAATTATAAAAGTGATATAGTAAAGGACACATGCTGGATTTATTAATTTTAAAAAGCAAAGTGTGTACTGTTGTGAAAAGACTTGTTTTTGGTAGAAACAACAAGATGTAATATAGAACTTGGTAGGTTTTCTCCCAAGGGATAGTATTGCTATACAGAGTTTATGCATACAGTATACCTGCCATGTGTATCGTCTCAGTTAATTATTTTAACAATACCATATGGTTATATTATACCCTCAATTAAATAGTATTATTTCTCCCATATTCTTTTTTGAGACAATCTGGAACTTAGAGAAATGTTACAACAAGCAAATGTGCACACACACCCACACTCACACGTGTGTGTACGGTCTGCATTTACTTCTGTATCTGTATATGTTGAGAGTCTCGAGTTGCACCAATACCTATATTGGCATTCCCATACCACTGAGTTTCAGCTGTCTCTTTTTATATGGACAATTTCCTCACCACCTCCTGGCTCTGACTGCCAACATTTTTGCTTATGGGATTGGCCCCTGTCGTAGCAAATCTTCAGTTGTCTCCACCACCCACCTCCCATTGGGGATGCTCTTCTTCTCTGTCTATTCCCATCAGACACTCCGTCTCCCGGACAAGCTCTCATACCCAGTGCCAGGACAGAGCCCCTCCTTCCATTGCACCAAGACTTCCCTTCGCCCCTTGGGATGAGACCCTCCACCAACACTTTCGCAGGACCACTATCCTGCCATTCAGCAATGGTCACCAGAAGCAGCTCCTAGCTGGACCTGGCGGTACAGGCATGTGACTCCAGCTAAGTTCAAGGTCTATGTGTGCTGCAGACTGATTTCAAAGTCAGCCTAGAGCATATATCTTAAAAATAAAAAGTCAAAAGAACACTAGGGGTGTAACTCGGTGGTGGGATGCCTGTCTAGCATGCAAAAGTTGAATGCATTGCAGAAAAGGAGAAAGGAATTGGCTGCAGAGTTAAACCAGCATCAAGGTCAGCAGGGTAGCACTTTCGGATAGCCATGAAAAAGGACCTGCCAGTTAGATCAAAGGCGCTGATAGCCTTGCAGACTGTCATTTGCCTGAGAAGGAAGAATCAAAGATGAAAGAAAAAAAATGGAGCGGGCTGTTTGTACAAGTGAACTTGGGGGGGGCGGGGGATGGGGGGGCGTGTAACAAGCGTGCGGCCTGAGGACTTGAGTTCTATTCCCAGGGCTCACATTATAGGAGAGAATCAAGTCCTGAAACTTGTCTTCTGACCCCCCCCACGAATAAATAAATGAAAATTTTGTAAAAGCAAAAAAGAGATCGCACAGGGAGGAAGCTGTTTATGAACTGAACCCCAGGCTACAAAATCACCACTGATGTCACAACAGTGCTGCCGGCTAATAACCAGCTGCCCCGGAACTGTCGGGAAGTGCAAACAGCTCAGCGTTCAAATGCTTCTATTTTTTCCATCGTCTCAAAGCAGTGGAGCATAGAGTGCTGCTCTCCAAAGACAAAAGCGTCGGAGAGACACAGGCACTGCAGCCCAGGCGGGGGACGCGGCACGCACTTGCGCAGTGATTTTCCTTTTGCGGTGATATTAGCAAGGAGATCCAAAGCACTCAAACCTCTGTGCCCATCAGTTGCGGTGCCTGTGAGAAATCCCACACCAGTCTCTGGCTCAGCCGGTCTCAAGCTCTCCCTTTTCCTCATTTACCTTGGCCACCCACTTCCAAATGAAAACAAAAGGCGGATTTAAAAAGATCGGACACCTGTTTTCCTCCAAATGTGTTGTTATCAGCTGCTCGGCCCTGGTTCGTTCACATTGCCTGCTCTCTCGCCCCTGGAAGGCTTGCCTAAGGCTCCCAAGTTCAAAGTTTAGCTAGCACTCCTGATGTTCTATTTTCTGATTGCTTCATTCTTCCTTTGTTCTCACTTTTTATCCGT